ATATTTGTTGAGCCTTTGCTAGGCAACACGGACACAAGCACTGCAGTGGCCCACACCATGGGTGGTTTTACTGTGCCCACATTTGAGGTGGAACATGGAGGCGTAGGAAAGTTCAGTATGCCACCCAAGGTCACCAAGCTTGGAGGTGACTGAGCCAGGGGTCAAAGCCAGACTCTGATTCCAGACCAAAACCCCATAACAGCATTTAACAAAGACTTATTGGACCCAGGAAGTATCCCAGTCTCTTGGATAGATCAAGATCTTTAGATGGAGAAGGACAATTCCATAGAGAGGAAAGTTCAAAGAAAAGGAATCTTGAAGCAGCAGCTGGAGGATTGGCCAGGAATGAGGCTTCAGATGTGGACAAGACCAAAACTATTTATAGCATCTTGGTCTTGCCTTTCCTACTGAAACCCAGTGTCTTCCAGGGCAGGAGAGAAGCTTTTATTCTTCTCCTGAGCCTCCCTGAATAGGCCCCAGCAAGTCCCTCACCAATTCCTCATCTGCAGATCTGCCTGCCCTACTATGTCAATGACCAGAGCTGACCAAAGTGAGCCCGTGGACACTTTATATGCAATTGACTGTCATGCCCAAGGCAGCACCTCCTGATTGACTCAGAGACCAAATTAAGCCAAGAAAATAGTGGCTCCATAACCTATTCTAATCAGCTTCCATCCTGAAGACCCTTTAGGAGATGGGAGAGGAGTGCAGTTTCACTAAATTTGGTGCCCCAAAGGCTGAGTTGAGGACAAGATAGACTCAGGGAGCAGAGATGGAGCTGCAGGAGAGCTGCAGTTCTCTAACCCACCTACAACATGTTTTTTTGTTTTTTTGTTTTTTAATTCAGTAAAATAACATAACCTAAGAAAATATTCATAAATGTAGGTATCGATCTATAGAGGGGAAAACCATCAACTCCATAATGCTAGACAATGCAAATTTATTTAAAGATGTTAGTAGAGAAGTCAGATTACATATAATTACCATATAATTTGACTTCAAACGAAGTTCATTTAAGAGACATTCATGAGTGTGGGCAAAACACAGGGTAGAGAGGAGAGGGGGGAGCTACAGAGAAGCACAACGCTTGGACCTTGCTCCCCGGATGCCTCCACCCAGTGATTTACGGTTGCCAAAGCCGAGGCTTCATAATTTTTACATGGAAAACGATGTGACAGTACATCACGATTAAGTTTAATTAAACCATAAACTGTGCCCTTGAAAGCAGGCCTGGTTTTTCACCTTTTCTGCTCTCTGTAGGAAGACCCACATTAATTTATTCATAAAACTTAGAGAGGATTGCTTGGTCCTTGGAATAGACAAGTTATTTGATTTTTTTTTTTTAATTTAAGAGAGAAGTTAGTTCAGGGAGGATTTGTTGAGTGCCAACTGTGTGCTTAGGTGCCCTGCTGAGTCCCGAGTAGACAGCGCTGGCCAGAAAGCTGCGGGCTCTGCCTTCATGGGGCTCGCGGTGTGGGACTCACTCAATGAGCTGTACCAGGCAGCACTTAGTGACAGCTGTGGGATGTGCCAGTAAATAGCCACAGGAGCTCACTGTGACTGGGTGTCCAGAGCTTCTCTGAGGAGATTGTATTTAAACTGAGAGGCCTCAAGGATACGTTTGGATTGGCTAGCAGAGGGTCACAGGGTTACAGTCTGGACTTGAAATTTGATCTTTAATGGAATAGAAGCTGTCAGAGGAGATAACTGATTTGAATTGAAAAAAACTCCCTCTAACTCCTGGATGGTGAGAGAATGATAGTAGAGGATATGCAGTTAGAAGGCTACTGCAGAAGTAAGGTGAAAGGTGATGGGGACACTGGAGAGGGAGAGAAACAAGCTGATTTAAAGCCTCCTTAAGCAGTAGGACAGGCAGGATTTCGTGAGTGCACAGCGTGAAGAATGACGTGTGGGGAAGTATCATGGGCTCCAGGTTTCTGGTGGTGCCATTTACTATGATTGATCATGCTAGAAGAAGGCAAAAAATAATAATCAAGGCAAGAGACAAATGGCAAACTCTTATATACCAAACAAGAAAGATTAACACCCAACCAAGAAATGGGGAAAGGCCAGTGAGCATGGAATTTTCAAAAGAAGAAGTACGTATGTCCAAGAAAGACGAGAAGATATTCAGCTGAGATTCAGAATTGCAGATTAAAGAATCTAGGCTCCATTTACTTAGCATATTGGTGAAGATAAGAAAGCACGCTGAGGCCTGCTGTTGATGAGAACGTGGGGAATTGGCATGCATATGTGCACCTGGTGGGAATTGAATGTCTTTTGTGGGGGCAGTTATACATTTTTAAGAACATTAAGCAATATAGTCTAAGTACACAATCAAACAGCCACACAAGGATATATGTACAAAACTATTAGAGTACTTTCACTAATGAAAATGGGAAATAACCTATATGTTCATTAGTGGAAAAATGTACTTTAATGTAATCATTTAAAAATACATTAAAATCAGTGTCTATAGTATGATTCCATTTTGTAATGTGTCTGTGAATGTCTGTGTGTGGGAGTAGTATACAAAAAGGTTTAGAAGGAAATCTATCTAAAACCATATTGCACGTGGAAGATGAGTTTTTATTGTAGTTAATGTATTTGGGTAACCAGAAAACATAATAGCTTAAAAGAAAAGAAAACAATAATGCAGTATGACACAGACAGTGATTGAAGTGTTACTGCAAGGGAACCCAAGGGAGGGAGCCACTGATTCTCACTCAGTTTAGTGGGAGAAGGCTTCATGGGAGGGGTGTCATTGGAGAGAGCATGAATAATCGGGGTTATATTTGTTTGTTTTCCTGTTCTGCACAGCTCTGTAGCTTAAATTCACAAGAAATGAGGAGCTCTACAGAGAAAGCCAGAGCTGTTTCTGCGGGCCTTTCAGTCTATTTGCTCTCTGGTCATAAAAAATTCATGCCAATTAATTTAAAACCAGATGACAGGAAAAGGAAGCTTAGAGCTCTAGAAAGACATTCAACAACAGCTCCAATCAGTGTGTAACACAGTCACGTTACTACTTTGCCCACTTCCCTGACTCGGTTGGGATTTTATATTCATTTGCAGAAGTAACAAGCATTCCTGGATATTATGTTATCAGCCCTTTCTAGTTCCTTGGTTACTATCTTGGATCTTTGAATAAAGAATCACTTGCACTTCACGTTTTCTATACTTGGCTTTAGAAATTATGCAGCTTCTTACCAGAGCGCCCTTTGGGGAACTGAAATATGCCTTGATAGGATCTAGTTGTGACTTTATGGAAAAGCGGTCTACCTAACAGAACAGGATGACCCTTTCTTGATTTGGAAACAGAACTTAATTGGTGGCCTGATGCCAATAGAATTGTCAACTTGGGTCTGAGGAGGAGCAGAGAGGAAACTGAACATACTCACAAAGCACTGGGTCAGAGGTGGGCATATGGGGGCCCAAGCCCCAGTTCCTTCAGTTACTGGCTATGTGGCCCCAGGCCGCTTTCTTGACATTCATTAAGCCTTAGGTGTTTTTATTGTTTCAGCTTTGAAATGTGACAGACCTAGGTTGCAAGTTCTGGTGGCAACACAGTGTGGGATCTTGGCCTTCCCAGGAGAAAGTTAGGGGCACAGCTGGGTGCTGTAAGGGTAGCATATGGATGAATATTGCCACTGTCAAAAAATGATTTATTTTAATAATATTATTATTAGATGTTAGAAATTTGTATATATGTATGTGTCTGTGTGTATGTATAAAACTATACATACACTTCACACCTATGACTTCACAGATATTTTTATATAGAATGGTGGTACTTAAAAATTCCTTTAAATTGTTAGCAATCCTTTTACAGTTATAGTATCCATCTTACTTGAAAGTTGCCTTTCATTAGGCCATAGAGAGAAGGGACAGAAATAAACACTTGCACAAACTTAAAAAAATCCATTAAAAATGAAGTTAAGCAGAAAATGTGAATTGATTTGGAAACATTAAAATTGGTAAATGATAGTAGAGGTAAGACATTGATATGGTAAAAACTGTGAAACTGGTACCTGAATGAGCACAGTGGGCCTCAGAGGGATCACCGAACCCCATGTGTTGTCGTTTTCTTACCTATAAAGTTCCCAGGGTGGTTCAGAGGATCACGAGGTTATTAGTAGTAATTTTATCGTTATTCTGTCAGTATTACCAATTGTCATAGATATTATTGGCTTAATAGTTGTCACATAGTAGGGACTCAAATATATGAGTTTCCTTCCCTTTCCCCTCTTCTTTTTTGAGAGTTAAAAGTGATTTCTGAGATCAGCCAGTCTCGTTTCCTTATTTTCCAGAGGAGATAACTGAACCCAGATAGGGAACAATTGGCCGAAGGCTCCTAGTCCTGTGCTCCTCACCCTGCTAGGCTCAGGGGTGCACAGTGGCTGCCAGAGACCTGGCCACAGTCCTTACAAGTCTCGGAGAAACTGACAAATGCTTGGGAACAAAAAAGAGTTAACAATGTGGGCAACAGTCATGGTCTAACACTGGGGGTCGGGGTGGGTGCGAAATCACAGTCTGCGTGTGATTTCCAGTGTAGCACATCTTTATAGTCCTGCTCTGCATAATGGTAAACTCTGTGTATAGAAGAAAAAAAAAATTTTTTAAATACTCCCAAATATTGGAAGGGAGTATGTTGAGGTAGTGGCACTTTTTGGGGTTTGTTTGTTTTTGGCTCTATTTCTCTCTGTGTTTTCATGGTCTTTTGCATTTTTACATCTGTGAAAAATAAAAATAAGTGTCAAAATGATTGGAAGCCTGTATTTTCTGTACTGAGAGATCATCATTGGTGCTCTGCTTGGTACATAACTATTAATTATCAACTTCATTTTAAAAATAATTCCCTTCCAGCTCCTGATCATTAGCAATTTGTCCAGTTTACGTGGGATCATGAGCCGTTGGTAACCAATAGAAGGTATAAAACCTACAGTGCATTTCAGTCCTGTGGTTCGCAAGGGATTAATTGTGATTGTCTTCTTGTTTTGCAGATGAAAAGGCTGAGAATCAGAGAGGGCTAGTGATCTCCTGGACACTTGGTCAGTAGGTAAGTGATAATGCTGACAGTGAGCACGATACTCATCTCATCTCCATGACTGGAGCTCTGTAGGCTCATTGTCCCAATCTTGTGACTTTTCTGGCTCGTGCAGTTCAAGCCAGGAAATAAGATGGGTTGGTTTGAGGCATTTGGATATTATTTGCACTGGTGGTTTCTGTCTCTTCTCACTGTCGGGTTGGAATGTTTCACAGGCGAGTTTGTGAAGGCCTCCTAGGCAGTGGCTGGCCCACAGTGGATCTTTCTCCAGGAACGGCAGGGCCATTAAAACCTGGCCCAGGCTGGGGCTAGTAGGACATCACTGACCCTTCAAGTGATCCAGTGGTTTGGTGCATCAAGAGCAGAGAGCCCTAGACTAGGGTTTCAGGGGATCTGGGTTTGAGTTCTACCATTAAACTGCTCTGTGACCTTGAGCAAGCCCCTTAATTCATGGATTCACTCATTTTTCGTTCCTTATTTCAAACTTTTTTTCCCTACGGTATTTGGTGCCAAAAAAGGAATACAGCACAGTCTTTGCCCTTGAGGTACTCACAGCCCAATTTATAAGTTCTCCATGTCCTCATTACTGTCTTACCATGAGAATTTCCAACATCTGCTTTGGAGTTTACGGTCTGTAGGGCATTTTGTGATCTTCCCCAAAACTCCATAAGCTCTAAGAAGTTGTTAATGCCATTTTGCCAAGGAGAAAACTATGGCTCAGAGAGTTGGCCAAGGCCATATAGTCAGAGTTAGAGCTGACTTTGAAACCAGACATACTAGCTGCAAAGCATGCGTTTCTGATAACAACAAACTGTTCTGACAGATGGTTTTAGTGCTTGAGCGGGCAGTTTTGTACCCTACCCCTGAGCAGGGAGTAAAATGTCAGGCAGATCAGCATCAGGAGGGATCCCATGCCGGTAGAAGGATGCTTTTCTGTAAGAGGTACTTTCCTGTGTCTAGCTGATCATTCCAGAAAGCAATGCCTGCTGTAGCTGTGAGCAAAGGCAGCCTTGGGCTCTGGGCAAGCTGAATACTGGGGGTAAACATGCCCCAGGCCCCTCCTCCTGGTGGCTGGAGTCAGTCTATCAGAGAGGATCTGCTCTTTTCAGAACACTGCTGCTTTTCACCAAAGCTTAAGGATTCCAGTAGCCTCTGCGTCTCTAGATGTGCCTGGCCTCAGGCATGACATGGGGAATGATTCGGATTAGAGGCTATGCTGTTTGTTTGTGGGGATGACAACTTCTTGAGCATGACTCCCTCAAAGTTTGCAATTTCAAAGGGTGCATAACCTCAGCAGTTAGGCCTGATCTTTCCGTTTTACAGAAAAATGTGTGTATGTGAAAGCTGTGAATTATGGCCATCCTTGATGAGATATACATGACTGGTGATAGATAGCATGTGTGGGACTTGTGGGGAATGTGTGTGTGTGTGTGTGTGTGTGTACGTGTGTTTAATCTCTAGGAAGCATTTGTTATGAAAAAAAGAAAACACGGGTGTAACTTTTCAACAGGACCCAGAAATGGGCTTTTAATAAGCACTATTAAACTCTTTGATTACAAGGGGGAGGCTGGCCATTCTTTCATCCTGGCTTGGATCACAGCTCTCCCTTGCCCTGCTTGGAGGTCAAATAAAAACTGCTACTCGTATTAGTCTCTCCTAAGTCCGTCTCCCCCTTGCTGCCCCTTCCCCTGTGCTTGTCTGATCTCTCCACTTAGACCCACACAGACAGGGCTGGTGTCAAGACTGATAGATGATACCTGCGAGTGCACCTGGAATCTGAGCGTCCTGTGCCCTGCTCTGCCTCAGCAGGAAACTTTAGGGTCTTTGTTTAAGAGCCTGTCTGCTCTGAGCCAGGAGAGATCCGGGGCTCCTTCCTTTCCCTGAGAGTCACTTACAGCCACTGACACCCAGCAGGACTATGGATGTGCAAACCCTCTCCTTTAGGGATTGTGTTTCCCCTTGTCTGACGCGGGAGGAGGAGAAGCTCCATTGAAAGGCAGGTTTCACTCCAGACTGAAAGCATTCTGCCAGGTCTCCTGAGGAAGCTGGTTCCCAGAGTGATTATCTTTCCTGAGCCAAGAGCGAGGCGCTCTGTAACAGGAAGCTAGGCAGGCTTAGCAACAGGCTTATCAGGCCGTGCTACAAGGATGTTCATGCATGTAAACAGGTCTGGGTCTGTGCGGTTTTGTCCCTGTCTGTGCACTGGGTCAGTTCTGGGGCTGGTGTGCTCTGGTTTGTACAGTTCCTTCTCAGAGGTAATATACTCCGTGAAGTGTGGAATGCTGCCTACATTGTCCTTGTTCACCCCCACAGTACCCAGCATGGGGGTCCCTGGCATGGGGCTGAGTGTGCAGTAGGAGGTGGCCAGTGTTTGTGCACGCAGAAGCCGCTGGCTCCAGGCAGCAGAGTGCCCCAGGTGGGGTGCTCAGCCTTGTATAATAGAGCAGGCCTGCATTTGAGTCGTAGCTTGGCCTCTCAGTGCACTGATCTAGTCAGTTTCTCTGTGCCATGGTTCTGGAGGGCCTGCCCTATTTGGAATATGCTGCCTAGTTTGTGCCAGCAACTCCATTGGAGTGGCCAGCCTCTGGTCCCTGTGGCTCCAGTAATTGCCTTCAGACTGGCTACAAACCAGATAAGCCACTGAGCATCACAGTCCTGCTACATATCCCAGGTAGACATGCTGCCTTGACCTTGAAACCTCCCCAGACAGACCCTCCAGGGCTGGCACAAGAGCCATCCAGTGTCAGCTCTCCAACTACCCTTAGTCGCTGTTTCAGAAGGCATTTATTAAGCACGTAGCATGTGCAAGGCACTGTGGTAACATCATAGGTATATTTTTTTTTCTAATTTTCACATCCATTTTCCAGATGAGATAACTAAGTTTCAAAAAAGGTAACATGCCCGGAAGTATATAAGTATTTAGTGATAATGCTGAAATGAGAAAGCTCTTGACTTATATGCAGCATATAGCACACATGGCTACTGAAAAATGGTTGCTACTTAATACTTATGGTTCTTTTAAAACTAATCATTTCTAGAGCACTTAACATACTGCCTCCTAATGGTTGGTCCTTCTGTGATTTCTCCCACTGGACAGTGAGGTTCTAGAAAGCAGGAACTGGAAGCCCCAGCATCTAGTATTATACAGGGTTTATAGCAACTGATCAAGCCATTAGTAATGGCAAACCTTACCTACCACTGCCTATGTGCTAGGCAAGGTAAGATAGATACTATTATTATAACCATTTTAAACTAAAGAAAACGAGTTTGAGGAGTTTGGGTAACTTTCCCAGGTTACCCAGATCTTCAGTGGCAGAGCGGGGAATGGGAGCTTGGCTGTCTGACCTACAAGCTTGGTTCTCAGCTGCAGTGTCTTGCCTCACCAGACGCACTGGCCTCTGTGGATGCCCCAGTGTACACATGGCCACAGCCAAGTGAACTCCTATGAAGCTGTCGCTCAAATTCAGTGCCGGCTTATCTGGGGCTCTATGAGGTTTCCATCCAGAAGGGATGAAGCTGGTGAAGGCTGGGAAGCCAGTCATGTATAAGACAAAATGAAGAGTCATTAATAAGACTCACAAAAAAACAGTGTCCTTCCTGGAAAGTAGATCTGATTTATAAGACATAAGCGAGGACACAGTCAACATCAAGAGGCATGGAGATAGTGTGCTCCGTGGAGAACAGTGGTGAAGTGCTTCCGTGGTATTTCTGGGGGTATTTCTTAGGCCTGGCAAGTACGCTGCTGCAGACTCACTGGGGATGAGGCCGGGTAGGGGGAAAGGTCCTGGTGCACTGCTGTCAAGGGAGGGCCTTTCCTTCTAGGACCGTCCCAAAAGACCCAGAAACCAATAACTTATTTCATCATGTGGAGCTGCATCTTATGCAAGCCAAAGAAATGGTACTCCACCTTCACTGCCACAAGATAATTGACCCCTTGTGGCTGTGTCCGCAGGACAGCAGGAGCATGTGCTTTTAGTGACAGTTAAGCAGCAGGGAGGCAGATGTGAGCTGGAAAAGAGCGGGGCTTTGAATGGCTCTGGGCGGGACAAGGATTGCAACTACTGACTCCTGAGGGCTCACACTTTGCTTGAGTCCAGGCTCTGTTCTGTGCCCCGGGAACTCCAGTGAGGTGTGGGAGTGCCCTCTTCTAAATGCTAGAACAGAAACAACTGCTTCAGGAGACCACAAATGAGCACTTCTTGGCCAAGAGAAAACTCAGAGGAATGACAGCATGCTGGCATATCAGCTAGAGCCTTTATGGATGTGTCTTTGGGTGGGCTCAGGGCTTTGCCGTTCTGGGGGCTGGCCCTCGCACCCCAAAGGCAGGGCATTACTGCGCCTTCACGCAGGACTCTGAAGTCACTTACTCGTTCTCCCACAGCAGTGGCTTTTAAACTAAGCTCTGCAGAGCCCTCAGGGTTTAGTGACAGCCTACCTGGGACTTCCTTTGGAGATGGGCAGACAATTCTCTATTGGCTCTGGAACCTTGCTGATCCTCTTTCTATTTGGGTGGGATGTACTCCCATGACCATGCTGTTCGTCGGCAGCCGACTTCTGTTCTCATCGGCCATGGTGTCTGTTCTGATTGGTTGCTGTCTGTGCCATACCAGTTGTTAAATATTTTCACTTTCACTCCTGCTTGTAAGCCTGCCTTATGCAGAGCCAGGGCACCCATACTAGCTGCATCCTAATAAAGGTGCCTCACTGGCGACCAACCTACAAACCAGTGTGGAGAACCAACGTGGTTTTGGCATCTTGGAGAAGTGCTGGCTGTGCTTTCTCAAACACTCTAGGGCCGCAGAGTCGCCTGAATGTCACCAGCTCACATGGCTGTGTGGGGGCTTGGCAATCTGCCTGCCCTTCCCAGTGCCACCAAACCAGGAGCCCTGATCTCCTGCAGAGGCCGACCTGGGAGCAGGAGTTGGTCTTTTCTGCCCCAGCGCCTGGCATGTCTCTATGGCATAGGTGCATGCTTCATTGCGTGCTCGGAGGTATGATTCCCAATTCACTCA